ACTGAGAATATGTATCAGATTTTATGTGAAGCTGTGACTGTGAGTTTATAATATCAACATGTTGACGTTAAGATATTAAAGAATGTAAAAGAGTGAAATGTGAAAATAATTAACTTAATTGACATGTTAATGAGAGCATAGGAAGAAAGTTTTTAATTTATGATGTTCTTATTACTCTATAATTGTTAACTTTAACAACAACAACAACAACAAAAATTATAAAAATAAAACAAACATGCATTGCTTATTTAGACCACATTTACATACGCAGAGGCGTAATGCATCTACAATATGTAATGACATCATTTGCGAAAACGAATGATGCGATTTGAAATAACGAAACACACATGCATATAGCAAAAATGAAAATGAAAATAAAAATATAATAACAATGCTGAATACCTTCAATTTTTAAGAATGCCATCTTACTTGCGATTGTATTTTGCGAATGTGTTTTTTTGCATTGGCAGGTAGAGCGGAGTCCAATTAAAATCGAAACGTATTGCTTTACACCAACCCACCCATTTTCCAAATTTTAATCAATTTTTTTTTTTTATTGCATTTACTTTTTATGACACACTTTCATCCCACATTCTTTAAGCATTCTGTAAGCGGCTAACGGAAGGGATTTGCATTCTCTAAAACGATGATGATCTCGTCGCTTTAAGTATTTTGAATTTTTTCATTCTCTCGAAATGCCAAATGAGGAATGTGCTTTGGCGGCAGTCGCTAAGCTTACCTCAAATTACTAATAACGCAATAAAATATTAATTTATTGTTTTTTTTTTTGCTAAGGTGTAACCTTAGAAGTAAGCGATTTAATTTTTTTTTTTTTTTTTTTTTTTTTTCTCTTCATTATTATTATAAATAGGTTTTCGTTTATTTTTACGACTCCCTCGCCTTAACCCTTGAATATTTTTACTCTGTGCTAATGAATAGAAGGTGAAGAAAATATACGTAATGTAGAGACAAGTGATGTACGATGTCTCCTATGTAGAATAGCTAATATTTATTTATTAAATTTCTAATTAAGGCAAGTAAGAAAGTTATTGTGCACTTATACCGAATCTTTGAAGTCCTTTCTTCCACACTTATGTATTATGATTGCAAATTATTTTGTTATATGTGCATGTTAGTTAGCAGACCGGCAAACATCATTTTTACATTGATCTTTTCAATGAGAGTTTGAGATAATTTTCCAAATTTATTATGAATTGATTTTTTTTTCAGACAAATTCATCGACTGGAACATACTACCAAACATACTAAATTACAGTAAAATTAATGTTTAAAGAAAAGCAAATTAAAATTTGAACTAATTATTATTGAAGAAATGCATATGTAAATCGTTATACATTCCTATAATATTGTGTTTATTAAGAAGAAACAAGCAAAAGCACATAGTTGAAAGCATTATGGACGAAAAAGTCGACCAATTTTCAATAGTTTTCATCCTAAAAGGCGGACAGACGGACAAACAAGCTCCATCCAGGAATCCATCGGTGCAATAAATTTTGGTCCTATCTCAATTAGTCTGATTCGAACCGTTTTCAAAAGTGTTCGTCCTTCGACCGAAACTTGTCATCTCAAAAATTGCGACAATTGCGTAGATTCACAACACTTATAAATGGAGAGATATCAGATATGGACAGACAGACAGATAGGCGTACAAGTTTGGATTGACTCAGCATCGCTTCTTGTATGGATAGATGTAATAAAAGTCGCGTCTATTTCAAGTCGTTTTGGGTGTTGCATACACCCTCGTAAACTTAATATAAGTTTGTAACACTAGTGGTGTAGGATACAAAAATGAAAGCTTATCTTTCATCAATTCGTCACACTATGACACGCAACAAGTAACTCCCGCTTATTCATGGCTTCAAAACTGACTGTAAGAAAGACAAAGTGCTTTGTTCGATCGGAATAATTTTTACACCGAATTTGAATTGTTTTTGAAAATATATGTATGTACCTGCAAATTATGAAGGAAAATCATTTTAGCAAGGCCAAATGAGTCAATTGGAAAAATCTCATTTAAATAATAAAATTGAATTTATTACCAAGAAATTCTTGCGATTGGTGATTTCATTCTCAAGCTAGCAAGCTTCTGAATGACTGGCTCGATACATCCCTTTTGCCAAATATTAATTAGATCGTTATCTGCTATAAATGTTGAGTTATTGATAATATAAGAGAAAAATTTCGTTTTTATAGGTTTTTCGGCTACAACTTTTAATTGCAAGGTTTTAAATTTTCCATCTCACTGGTGACAGTCTCAGATTAGACTGGCCTTGAATATGCTTGTGAAGATATAAAAATGCATATATTTTACAAGAGTTCTGAAAACAATTCTTGTTCATAATGCAAGCATAATGATTTGACTAATAAATCTCCATGCGTTGGTGGAAGTTACAGAAGAGAAGAAAAAAATCTATTCAGATTATAATTTCTTATCTTAGGAAACACATGTTAAACTAGATTTTATTTATGCTTTAATAATTAAAAATAATAAATTAATAAATATAATCTAAGAGAAGGTGAATGAATATAAATTACATACAAAAAATAAATGAATGAATAAATAAAAAAATAAAAGAAAAGGAAAAAGAAAAAGAAAAAACACTTCTGCTGTAGCTACACCCATAATGTTGAATGATTTTAACCTTTTGGGGAGACTTCGGGGCAAACCTAATACACATGGCTAAGATCTATTATTAATAACAGAAATTAAATTGCATGGCAACCTAGTTTAGTTTAAAATATGTAGAACACCAAGTAGCGTGAGAAACATTTTACTTTATTATAATATTCGTATTGGTAGGTACAACTACAGGCATTCAAGCAGGCATTGAATTTGCAAAAAAAAAAAAAAACCATAACAAGCAGTACAAAATTTCAAGAGATTTTTGTTTTTGTTTATTTATTTATTTATTTATTTTTTTATTTTTTTTTTGCTATATTCGCTTGCAATTACTCTTTACTGTATACCAACGTCATAGACGTCTTCTAATAGAGAGTAGAATCTTATCTTAGAATTTAAGTATTGGACTTCATAAAGCGAAAATATAACCTCTTAGATTATGAGAGCGATTCAATTAATTTTTACTTTATAATCTCTTCCTATGCCGTACCCAACTTCCTCTTTCTCTCTCGTTAATTTACAAAACATGCGTATGTGCCAGCAATTTGTTAACAATATAATAGCAAACAATAAATATATATTTATGCATACATTGGTTTTATTTTGTTATCAATGTAAGGCAATTACTACCAACAAGGGTAACCATCAGTTTGCTATCGGTACTCTCCGTGCGGTTATATTTCCTTTTAAACTGTTTGCCATAATTCAGATTAAATCCAAATGGCAAATTGCAAGCACCTCTGCGTTGTATACAAACAACGAATTGCTTGCTGAAGAAGAAGCCAAACACTACCCTTCTTCTTTCGCCTCCCCTTTCACTATTCATCGTTCATATAAACACTTGTGCACGTATCAGGTGGCTATAGTGGATTTACCAAAAAAAAAAAAAAAAAAAAAAAAACTATTCATTCAATGATTTCAGTTATTTTTGCTTTACGAAAATAATCATCTGACTACCATATTATACCATAACAACAAAATTAGTAGCAGCCAGTTAGCGCCGCCGCATCTACCACTTCTTCCTTTTACAGTCGAATTAACAGCAACAATAATAAATACAACATAATACCCGCAACGGCAACGGCA